CCACCTCCCCTCCCCGGGGAAGCATAAAAACGTTATGAGATGTATAGTCATCATCATCAGCATTGCCTTTTCGCCCTACATCAGGGTATAGGAGGTCACGAACAAACACTTTCCACTCTTCTCTATCCTGGGCTAGCCTCTTGAGGTTATTGAGATGTATAATTATAACAACAAATTGTATCCATCCTTCTTCCTCAAGCCAGGCATCGTTGTGAAATCAGGCGCTCGTCAAAATAATAAAAATGAAGAAACAGGCATTTTTCTGCCAGTTTAGCAATTTTTATCGAAATTTTGTTTGTTGGCTCAACATCTTTTATGTCCACATGATAACACATTTCCATGTGAATTTGACTGAAAAACCGCGGATTAAAGGCACAGAATATGTACATTTTTAGTTTACAAGGACTCTCAAGCTATTGTAATTACCGAATTTTGGTTTCCATTTTCTCCCTAATTTTACCACTGAAACCAGGCAACCCCCACCTCATTCAATCGCAAATATCTCAACCCCTATCCAAGATCATTATCATCATTGCCTTTCTCTCCCTGGATCAGGATATAGGCCACGAACAAACACTTTCCACCTTTCCCTATCCTGGGCTAGTCGCTTGATGTCACTCCATCTCTTCCCATTTTTTGTACATCCATTTCCGTGACTCTTCCCCACGTTCCACGTGGTCTTCCCCTTGATCTTTTACCCTGTGGGTTCCAATCTAACACTTTCATTGTTATACATCTGCTTGACTTTCTGAAAGTGTGTCCAATCCATTGCCAACGCCTTCTTCGTACTTCATCTCTGACTGGGCTCTGTCTCGTTCTTCTTAATACTTCCTCGTTTGTGACCCTGTCCGCCAATCTGATCCTCAGTAACTTCCTCAGGCACTTGTTCCGGAAAACCTGGATCCTCTTTATGCACGTCAGGGATGTGTTCCATGTCTCACATCCATACAACAAGACTGACTTCACATTTGAGTTGAAAATCCTCAGCTTTGTTCGTAGTGAGATATCCCTGGTCCTCCAAATCATGTCAAAGAAATAATGCAGTCTGTGCCTCTCAATGCAGTTCTTTATTTCAGAATTATACCGCCAAGATAGCAGAAGGACTCGATGTCTTCTTGTGCATTTCCCTCTACTGTGACCTGCTCCTTTCGCAGTACATCTATCCTTAGGACTTTTGACTTGCCGGAGTGGATCCTCAATACAATAGACTCTGATAGTGATAGGCTGTTTAAAATTGTGATCTTTGCTTGCATATATTCCTGGGTATGTGACAGAAGTGCCAAGTCATCTGCAAAGTCAAGATCTTCCAACTGTGTCCATGGGGTCCACTGTATGCCGTTTCTGTGTCCTCTGGTGGTTTCTTTCATCAGCCAGTCGATTGCCAAGATAAACAGGAAAGGTGATAGTAAACACCCCTGTCTCACACCGGTCTTGATGTCAAAGCTGTCAGAGAGCTGGCCATCATGTATAACCCTGCAACTTGACCCTTCATACATGCTCCTGATGAGGGTAACCAACTTCTGTGGGATTCCATGATGTCCCATAATCTTCCACATTGTTGCTAGATCTAAACTGTCAAAGGCCTTCTCATAGTCAAGAAAGTTGACAATCAACTGGGAGTTCCACCCCAAGGACTGTTCCACTATGATCCTCAACGTAACAATCTGGTCCGTGGTGGACCGGTTTTTCCGAAAACCAGCCTGTTCATCCTGAAGTCTTGGATCCGTTGCAGACTTGATTCTCTCCAGAATGATTCTGTTGAAGACCTTTCCTGGTATTGAGAGAAGAGTGATTCCTCTGGAGTTGTTGCAGTAGCTGAGAACCCCCATTTTGGAAGTTTCACAAGGTGTTTTTCTTTCCAATCCTTTGGGAACTTGCTCTCATACCAGACCCTGGTAAACAATAGGAGAAGGAGGTCTGCCGTCACTTTGGCACCTGTTTTTAGGGCCTCGGGTGAAATCTGATCAGGACAGGCCGCTTTACCGTTGTTCAGCTTCTTAATAGCATCCATAATCTCTTGGTTTGAAGGAGCATCACAGCAGATTGGTAACTCATTTCTTGCTGGCAGGATGTTTAGCGGGTTACTGAGTGGTGGTCTGTTCAGGAGACTGTTGAAATGCTCTACCCATCGTCTTGACTGAGCTTCCTTTTCAAAAATGGGTTTCCCCTCTTGGTCCTTTACTGTTACTTCTGGTTTCCCATACTTTCCAGAAAGAGTCTTTGTAGTCTGGTAAAGGATTCGCATATCCCCTCCTGCTGCTACCTCCTCTGCCCCCTCTGCCAGCCTGTTTATGAATTACTCCTTGTCTATTCTTAGTGTAGTAGCACATATCCACACTCTACAGCATGCTTTATGCGCTTAACAGCTATTATTACCCCAGCAGACCTTCTGTGAACACTAAGAAACATTCTTGGCTTCCCGTGAATCATACAGAGCAAACTGCAGATTTCTCTTTACATCTTTAGCTGTTGTCATGTACTGTTCCCATGCGCCCGCTTTTGATCTCCTTGTTCTACTTGTGTATATCTCTGCTTGCTTTCAATTGTCTTCTAACGCTATTCAAGATAAATGGGGGGGGGGGGGGGTCATCGAAAACAAGGCAAATGAATAAGCTTTTAGATTATAGCAATAACTCCCCATACCCAAAAATTGACGAGCGCCTGGTTCCATCGCGTCGTGACACAAATTTTGCTTACATTTGTCCCCAGCACACGTACCCCCTTGGGTTCTCTTCCTGGCCAGCATTATCGGCCTCCAAATATGATTACTGAGCAGCAGCAATGGGCCACGGGGAATCCCCCAGAGCCGAGCCACCCTGTGGCTGAGATACTATTGTGTAGGTATCGCGTCCAATCTGCCAAATGCTTCGAGTCTGTTTACTTTGTTCTTAAGACTTATCTCTTGTGGTTCGGTTTCACTGTTTACAAACTACAATTGATATTATTTCCTGGCAGGCGTACTGCTAAATCGAAAGCGGCTAAAACAGGAATTCATATTTGAGTTAAACGTATAATATTTTTTAAATGTTTATCTTTATCCCAGAGATAAAATATACTGTTTTTCGTCCTTAAAGTTTGATCTTAGGTCAACTTGGTTTTATATTGATCAACACAAGAGTCAGTTTCTAAGTGGTTGAAAACTGGGAAGGGGAAAATTTTGAACACGCTCCTTTCAGCTGAGGCTGGGGTTGGGTGGAAGGGGTGGGAGTAGTGGAGATGTTTCTGTTGTCCAGATTTTCGTTGTGTTAGTAATCAGGCCCAAATAGCGCCTGAGAGATTGCTTTAAAAAAAACCTGCAAACGCTTTCTTTCCCTCACGCTTTCACATACATATTAACTTACTCATACATTCACCTGCCCCCTCTTTTACTCACGGAGAGATTCCCTCATCCAAACCTTCTCTCACCAGCACATTCATTGCCTCCCGCATGCGCTCAGAATTTACGTCGACTCTCTGATTAACACTTTCGTTCGCTATCATTATCAATCTCACCCCCACCCATCCCTCACCCAATCCCTTATTTTTACTCCCTCTTTCTTGCAATTATTGTTAACACTGCACGAACGATGAAGGTCCGAATCCTCGACCCTTCTAAACTTTCTCTTTCTTTGGGGGAAAATTTAACACTAAAAGCATAACGTTTCGACATGGCGCAAAGATTGAGTGGATACTAGGAGCCACATGCATAAGAAACAAAAACAAAATTATTAGCATGGATTGTGTGGCCCCACGTTATAGAAAAAATAAACAACAGCAAAATGATGAGCATGCATTGTTAGCAGCCTCACGTATGAAGAAACAAAAGAAAAAATATCAGCACGCATTTTTCAGTGATTCAATATGAAGTTCGTACGTAATGAGGATATAATGCACACTTAGAAGGTTGTGTCTTATACGGGGTGCCCACTACGGATGGGATCGGCCGATCGGGACGATCGCACGACTCGATCGCCTCAAAAACAAACGTGTTTTTT